ATTACCGGGGAAAAAATGCTCTAGATTTTCTACCCGTTCAAATTTTAGCTGTTTTGTGCACACGCCAGAACTAGCCACCTCATTTGTTGCTGTTTTTCCCATCTCTGTTGATGGACTCCTGCAGGAGCCCGAAAGCTCAGACTAATAAAGTAATGATTCCAGTGTTCGATAATCCTTCTTCTCAAAATATACACGCTCCTGGAATGCGAACATTCGCCTCAATTCGTGATTCGTAGAGACTGGCACCCTATCTATAGGCGCTTGTTTGCCTTGTTATAGTGCGAGCGCACCACCGTGTTTACCAGAGCTCTAGTGAGTTATATCCTATCCTGGCATGTTGATTGCTCTTGTGCCACACTGGAACGAACAGATTACTGACAATGCCAGTGTCTTAGCTAGAGAGAATGCATATTATCGAGCACTGTGTTCGTACAACTGTGAAAATTCGCACGTTCCGGTGGGCAGCACAGTCTTTCTCTTCTTGACGAAGACTGCCGGCTTACTTATAAAATACCCGCCCGCTTAGGTGGGTTCAAAACACCATAACATTAACTGAATTCTGTATAGTATTGTCTAGCTTACTGAATCGAATGAACGCCGCGTTGGCGACTACTGCAGCTCTCCTCATCAATAGGACCCTAAACTATAATGTGAGGTGAAGTTTGAAGCTTTACTGAACAACGATGGTTTTTTGCTCCGAGAACAGGATAACAGAAACACCCCGTCATACAGATTGTTTTACGCTAAACTCCAGGGAAATTAGGGTTGGTGTCGAGGTTATGATTGGTGTTAGGGTTCCGGGCAGAATTAGGGTTGAGGTTAAGGTTATAACACGGAAATGGCTACCCTTCCCGAATTTTAGCGAAATGCCACCTGTCTTACAGGAAGGCGTTCCTTTTTTCCCTGTCCTGTCCAGGTGGGAGGAGGGACACACCCGATCCTGACCCCTTAGTTAATGGCGAGTGACTTGACCTGGTTCCACTCTAGGCTCTGGGCCGTGTGCAGCTATACCTGAAACTATTACTATTGCATGCTCCGCTATTAGCTCTTTTTTTTCGACCGAGCCCCCGCTTATTCTACAACCAATCGTTACTACGGGTCGTTCCATTATCTGCCACCTGTTTTTTTTTCCTCACCGGGTCGCCCATAGTCAGGTTAACAGACCTGCTCGGGCTTCGTGTTCTGGACACCGTCAAATCACTTTGGTGTGGCTGTTAGTAGGGGAAGCGGACCTTCTGATGGACGTTGAAAACTCCTGGCGCAAGAAGACTGAGGGCATTTCCGATAAGTGATTGTAAAGAAGAGTACTTCCATCACTACAATAACCCACGAATCAATGCTAGATCTGTGTAGTGAGACTCGACAAACGCATTTTCAAGGGCCGTGTGAAGACTCCTGCGGTCACCAGTTCTGTGTCTGCGTACTGCAGAAGGAATTTGCACATAAGTAGATGACTCTCGAAGGGCAAATGTTTCCCACCGACGAGCCGACCGGAGCACAATAATGTGTTACCGAAGTGTGTTTCTTACAGACCTCCGGTTAATACAAAGTTGGCGAGACGCAAAGAATTTAAGCACGGCAGAGATATGATCCGAGTGATCCTTCAAGACTGTCACGCGAGGCTTCGCAAGTACCGTCTGAGGATCGACGAAGCGAAGGCAAAGTGCTTTGAATGCATGTGCGAGAACGGCACTTAACTGCTTCAGCAGAGGGTGGCCGAACGAGCCTGCGACCACAAAGCGAAGCGAGAGGCAGCATTGGAAATTAAGTTTCGCAAGCTACCTCGTCCAAATTCATCCAAAGATGACAAATTGGTGCAAAATCTGTCATCCAAGAAGCTGACGGAGGAACAAATGCAGGTGTTAAGGCATGAAGCCTCATTCAAGACAGCTGATGCCAGACCTACCAACATTGTTGCTGCGGTAGAATCAATCCTCAGCCAAACAGAAGCGACCGACGAAACGAAAAACCTATGGGCGCGATGCGCTCCGGTCGGCTCGTCAGAAGGAACTTGGTTGCGCGAAATACTGAATTAAATTTGTGGGGTTTGAGTTGCGATGCGTAAAATGACCCTATCCATATCATACCGTGAACTAAGATTGTAGTGTGCAGTGTACAAGAGGTGGAGCCGTCTATGCAGCAACGGTAGAACTTCGATACACGCAAGCTGCTCCTTTCACCCATTTGCATCTTTTCGCTGTTTATTGCAGTTCGACTACTACCCTCTGTCAGCTTGTTTGATATCCACTGAAGGCCCTCGGTAGTGGCTCGTTTTTTTGCTTTTGTGCCGCCCTCTCAACAAACCCCTCCCCCCGCCCTCCCATGCTCTCTGGTCACTGTATTTTCTGCGCCTTCAGCAACCTGTATGAAGAGGAGCGCCAACGGTCCTGCGCTTTGGAGAAAAGCCTGTTTATCGCTCGCTCTGACCTCGATAAGAAGGAGGAACAATTGAAGACTGCTGAACTTTTCTTCCAAGTATGTCTGTGTGTGGGCATAGTTGCATTTTCTGGACATTTTCATCTTATCTCTCTGCCTTGTCACTTCCGCCACGTTCCCTTTTACCTTACTTTCATGTTGTATTTTTACTTGCAGCGATGTTCTGTCGGAATGGACAAAGTCAGTCCGCTGTCGCACTTCATCAATTCTGCACAATCCCCCAGTAGCCAGGTATGTTCGTCACCCTCACTTTTCTCTTTATGGATTTTAACCTATTTTTTACTATTTTGTTGCGTGTACACCAGCTTCTACTTACTGCGCCATGTCCTGTTACCTTCCTTTGATATGCCCGATAAACTATTTTGTAGGCACATATTTATTTCCGATAAGGACAAGTGAGATTGAAATGTCCATTTCTGGCTTAATATCCGTCATCAGCCAGCCATACCCAACCCCAGGGGTGGCCGCTCCCGATTCTCGAGCCCGCGTCCTTGTTAGTCAGAAGTTCAACGTTCTAACCACTGCCAATTCAAGCGAACATACGAGTCCCAGGAAGCAATTAAGAAGAAGAAGACTCGATCGCTGGGACAATACGTTT